TTCTACAATTCTACATTGTCTTTATGACAATTAAGCCAAAACTATGTACCAAAACCTCCCTTAACTTACTTGAAACACTGTTAGATGTCGCATCTTTCTTTACTTTAACTAAAATATTTTTTTCAATGTAAAATATCAAACCATGTTTTGTTTTTTGATGGGTTTTTTTCACATGTGTCCCATTGCTTAGACAAGTGATAATAAATCATTGATGACCAAATGTGGACTATATACAATCAGTGACTGCAGTCTAATTAAAGTAACACAGTAATTATCACATGATCTTCTCAACAAATCACCTCACTATTATGACTATATAAGACACTGCATTAATTATAATTACAGTCACTCAAATTATCAATTGGCAGGAAGTTAAATACTGACAGATAATTATTTAACAGTAAGGCAGGAACTTTTGATTGCAATACGGTCATTCTTGTACAAATTATGGCCATTGGGTCTTTCCTGTACAAATTATGGCCACAGGGTCCAAATTTTTTATACAATTTATGAAAGGAACAAAACAGAATTACGGTCATCAATTATAAATTGAAGACAGACAATTAATGAACTGAGGAACTATTCATGTCCCAGGACCTCTTTTGTAAAAATCATATGTATATTTAATTTCCTATAGAATATAAAAAGTTATCATCGAAATATTTTCAAAATTTTAACAATCTTTCATAGAAAACAAAAACAAAGCTATAATAGCTTAACCGTTTAATTAGGTATTATTAATCTTAGAACAACGCAGAAAGAAAAATTATCTCAAAATATTATTATTAATGAAAGAAGAAAGCAAGAGCAACTCATACTTATTGATTTAGACAAAAACAAGTTTGGACAAGCAGAATTTATGATATTGATAAGAATTTTTAAAGCATACAACAATATATACTAATGTAAGAATATATATTCATCAAAATGTTGTTTTAATCTTTTAATATATAATAATTCTTTAAAACTTAAGTACCACCATTACACATGTTTTTTACCTCTTCAGTTATATCTGAAAGACATTGGATAGCTGCAAACTTTTTTCTCTCCTCGTCACTTGCAGACAAATGTTTTTGCTTTTCTGATTTCCGACCTTTTCTCTTAGATTTAGGAAAAGCATCTAAATCAGTGTCAAGACCTTCTAAATCTTCAGGATCCTGTAAAAAACAAATGAAAAATTAATGAGTCTCAAACAAACATAAATCTATCACTACATGTATCCTATAAAAAGATTTAATGAGGCTTGATGGTATATGGGGATTTCCTTTAAAATTCATGTGGAAATTGAATCAAACCAATTTTGTGACTGAGACAAACATCCCACTTGTATTTTAATCATAATGTTACAAGATACAGAGAATTAACAAAGGCAGAGTAAGGTAGGGGTCAGCATCTGACCCCGAGAGTCTGTGCCGTTTCACCTCTGTCTTAAAACTTCTCTTTGACATGAACTGAAGGAGAAGTCACTTCTTCTTAAGATTTGAGTCTATTTAAAGCTCTGTTATTAAAGTTCTTCCTAAGATTTAAGTCTATCTAAAGCTTTGTTAAAGTTAGAATTTCGGAGGATGCTCTAATTACTCAGAAAGTGCTAGCATAAACTTCATAATTGAAAACATATAATACCGAAATATACCAACCTGAAGAAGTAAGCTGATGATGTAACGTGTGTAGACAAGAGAATCAATTCCAAGTTGTTCCAGCTCATATTTGAGCCAACTATGCACAGATGAAGGCAATGCTGCCTCCATAGTAATTCTATATTCCGGATACTTCATGGGCAAGAAGGGCATAGGCCACTGAAATAATCATAATAATGATAACAAGATATGTTTGTAAAACATGTATGCCCCCTATCTGCAGCCAATTAGTCATGTGATAAGGTTATTATGCATGACTTCTGACCCAGTGATCAAACAATTAATAAGGGTTATCAAGTATCTACTGGTCATGACCTTAACCTTTGACCCCTTGACCCAAAATTCAATAGGGGTCATCTGCTGGTCACGACCAATCAATCATACAAAGTTTGAAGTTCCTAGGCCTAAGCGTTTTAGTTAATTGATCGGAAACCGTTTTTACTACAAGGTCAATGTGACCTTGACCTTTGACCCCTTGACCCAAAATCAATAGGTCATCTGCTGGTCATGACCAATCACCATACCAAGTTTGAAGTTCCTAGGCCTAAGGGTTCTTTAGTTATTGATCGGAAACCGTTTTAACATACAAGGTCAATGTGACCTTGACCTTTGACCCCAAAATCAATAGGGGTCATCTGCTGGTCATGACCAATCACCATGCCAAGTTTGAAGTTCCTAGGCCGAAGCGTTCTTTAGTTATTGATCAGAAACCGTTTTTACTTACAATGTCAATGTGACCTTGACTTTTGACCCCTTGATCCCAAAATCAATAGGGGTAATCTGCTGGTCATGACAAATCACCATACCAAGTTTGAAGTTCCTAGGCTAAGCGTTCTTAAGTTTTTGATCTGAAACCGTTTTTACTTACAGGTCAATGTGACATTGACCTTTGACCCCTTGACCCAAAACTCAATAGGGGTCATCTGCTGGTCATGACCAATCATCATACAAAGTTTGAAGTTCCTAGGCCTAAGCGTTTTTAGTTAATTGATCGGAAACCATTTTTACCTACAAGGTCAATGTGACCTTGACCTTTGACCCCTTGACCCCAAAATCAATAGGTCATCTGCTGGTCATGACCAATCACCATACCAAGTTTGAAGTTCCTAAGCCTAAGGGTTCTTAAGTTAATGATTGTAAAGCATTTTTACCTACAAGGTCAATGTGACCTTGCCCATTGACCCCTTAACCCCAATATCAATAGGGGTCATCTGCTGGTCATGACCAATCACCATACCAAGTTTGAAGTCCCTTGGCCTAAGGGTTCTTTAGTTTTTGATCGGAAACCGTTTTAACCTAAGAGGTCAATGTGACCTTGACCTTTGACCCCTTGACCCCAAAATCAATAGGGGTCATCTACTGATCATGACCAATCACCATATCAAGTTTGAAGTTCCTAGGCCTAAGGGTTCTTTCGTTATTGATCGGAAAACCGTTTTTACCTACAAGGTCAATGTGACCTTGACCTTTGACCCCTTAACCCCAAAATCAATAGGGGTCATCTGCTGGTCATAACCAATCACCATACCAAGTTTGAAGTTGCTAGGCCTAAGGGTTCTTTTGTTATTGGTCAGAAACCGTTTTTACCCAAGAGGTCAATGTGACCTTGACCTTTGACCCCTTGACCCCCAAAATCAATAGGGGTCATCTACTGATCATGACCAATCACCATACCAAGTTTGAAGTTCCTAGGCCTTAAAGTTCTTTAGTTATTGATCAGAAACTGTTTTCGCTTACAAGGTCAATGTGACCTTGACCTTTGACCCCTTGACCCCAAAATCAATAGGGGTCATCTACTGATCATGACCAATCACCATACCAAGTTTGAAGTTCCTAGGCCTTAAGGTTCTTTAGTTATTGATCGGAAACCGTTTTTGCTTACCAAGGTCAATGTGACCTTGACCTTTGACCCCTTGACCCCAAAATCAATAGGGGTCATCTACAGATCATGACCAATCACCATACCAAGTTTGAAGTCCCTAGGCCTTAAGGTTCTTTAGTTATTGATCGGAAACCGTTTTTGCTTACAAGGTCAATGTGACCTTGACCTTTGACCCCTTGACCCCAAAATCAATAGGGGTCATCTACTGTCATGACCAATCACCATACCAAGTTTGAAGTTCCTAGGCCTAAGGGTTCTTTAGTTATCACTCGGAAACCATTTGGTCTACGGACCGACGGACCGACAGACCGCAAGTGCAAAGCAATATACCCCTTTTCTTCGAAATGGGGCATAATTATTGAATATATTAATAAGCTATTTTTGAAATAATGATAATCATATCATAAATAAGTTTCAAGGTTAAGACTGACATGTTTTAAAAATAATATGTTGGTCATCTATACATTTTAATTTTCAATAAACTAATTTTTTAAAATGGCAAAATCTCCTTACCTTTACAACAAACTATTAAATATTCATGTTTTATACTCTATCCTGAACAAATAATCAAACTTTTAAGACTAGTCGACAGACAGCATGCTCCACTTTTCCAAGAGCCAGAGAGTGTAATTATTATTTGTTATTATTAACCTTTTACCCCATGAGCATATTGCGAAAAATGGCCGTTTTCATTGAAAAGCCTCCTGTAACAAGTTCAAACTGCTATGAAACTATGAAAAATGCTTCAATACTAATGAAACTTGGCACAAATGTTGACTACACCATAGCCTCTGTAACAGCATGCTCAATCGTAAATTTCCTGTTACCATGCCAACGGGGGGACGTCTCAAAATTGCCAAAAATCACTATTTTGCATTGTTTTTTTCCATCAAAACTGATTTCAAAGTGCTACAACTTCTCAATGAATTGACATAGAGTAAAAGCCTTTTCAGCGTAGGTTACTTGTTACCCTAAGATCAACCTGAGGCCATTTTTAGCCTGTCACATGTCCAAAATTTTCTTGGCGATGAGGGGGACTCCGCCCCCTTCAAACCCCCCAAACAGAAGGGGGAACATCCCCCTTCCGGCAACCCCCTGATGTAATATTTGGATGGGGAACGGCGCCGAAAAAGTGGTCACTATTTTTAACAACATTTCTCAAATGAAAAACAGTGTTGGGGGCCTAAATAGGACATTTTTTCACTGTTTGAGGCCTCAAAAAGGAGGGGGGGGGGACAAAAAGCCGTCGAAACACACTTATATAAGGGAAAAGGTTAAATTAGAAAAACAGCATAATTCTGCAAAGTGCTTGAAAGACTTCTGTTCCCTTGACTACGTAATAGAATCCATATGTGTACCGACCGTGTAAGGCATTTTATGATCATTGATAGTACTGAAATGAATTTACTTTTTAAACAGAAAACTTCGCGATGGCGTTTGTGTGGTGCTGAAAAAAACTTTCGTAAATTTTATTTACTGAAAAATTTCTGTCTAATCCTGAAACAAAATAGTTTGGGAAGGCCTTGGTTACTAATATTTTCACAAATATGCCTTTTATTCTTACCTTTATCAAAATTTAACAACTTTCACAAACAATCATAATGCAATCAAATCTCTTAGCAAACATCATTGACATGAACATGTAGAAGATGACTTCTTGTACAGATGAACGTCTTCAACTGTGAATCCATTTTGGACCACTCAAGTTACTGACTGTATATAATTCTGAAAAAGGTAATGTAACACATAATCATATTGTTGGAATGATTAAAAAAGAATTTTGTACAATAAAACTGGAAATAAAAAAGTTTTTAGTAAAAACATTGTGTATGTAAGACGGTCTCCAATTTACCAGAAAGAGTCGTCTCCTGTTCAAACATGCTAGCAGACCTTTCAGCTCCAATACTAGTAAATGTATATATTTATACATGTAATAATAAATGTTTTGAAGACTATTTAAGGTAGACATTTATGCCAACTTATTTGAGAATCTCTCAACCCATGGCTAGAATACAGCCTTATTTTTGGCCTTCAATCCCATTCCCACTGAGAGTATATCCTTGACTCTTCAGCTATGACTCTAGCTCTTGCTCACCATTACCCCCTCATTAACCTCAATAAGTTTTGGAAAATCCCATAAACTATCTGGACAAGATTGGGTGAATGCTGTAGGGGGGGCAACATACTATTTTGAGTTTGAGGGGGGAATGGGGCCGAATTTCGCTGAACATTTTGGTGAAACAATTTATACTGTTTTCAATTGGGAAAATGACTGAATGTAGGCTATGAAATTAGCCAAATTACGGACAAAAGAAAGAATTTGTGAGTTGAAGCCTTTTATTTTTAATGTGCCGAGCTGTCCTCTTACTGTAATTTACTGTCTCACTCTGTGATCATTAATAGGCAAGCAAAAGCCTGAGTCTAGTATAACTATAAGTAAAATTCCATTCAGACTAGCGTAAAATTTATGGAACATAATCCAACGGTCTCAAAGTGTTTCGGGATCTGAAAGAATATGAATAGTATCATAATTCCCTATACGTATTACGTAACCTCCTGTTTCACCTTGCAACTTCCTCACATTTTTAGTGTGGCAAATGATTAAACGTGAAATAACAAATCAATTCAAATTCTAAGGATTATTTTCTGGCAGATTTTATCTTAAATGTTCTATCAACATAATGTTGTTTGTCAAATTACCCAAATTTTCAAAACATTTGAGGAATTCCATGAAATCATGAGAAGTGGGAGGGGCACCTGTCAAAAATTATGTCCTTGGATATCACTAGTGAAAACAACGGAATTATGCGTATCTAATATTGATATAATGCATACACATAAAGAATAAATAATGATGACATACAAATTATGTAATTAAGCCTTTAAATTACCTTGAATATGAAATGTTGCAATCACGTTTGATCAGTTTTCGCAGGGTCATTTTGACAGAACTCAGTCTATCTCCGAAATTGGCATTGTTTGGACTTTAAAGCGTTAAAAACTAATCATACATGACAGTTATTACATTAAACAACCATATTCGGTTGTCTATACTCAATCAAAACAGTTCAAAACATTCTTCCGTAATATATTTTGCGTTGATTTACGTTGGCCGGATGAAACTGGGGTGAATATTTTCACTTCTACGGAAGTAAATACCTACGCCGGAAGTGACGAAATTTGAAAAAAATAGTTCTACAATCAATTCAAAAGTTTTCATTAATCTCAGCTTATTGAAAAGCTTTAAACATACTGTAGTTTTTTGACAAAAAAGAATAACAGATTTACGGTAATATGATAATAAAATAGACTGAATATATCAGAATCGTAACTTTACTGCAAATGGAGGCGGATTAGTTTGTAGGTCATTGGATCTACTTTTTCACGTAGGCAGACGTTCTCTGGCAACAACAAACACGCGGGAAAAATAAGGCTTTAAAATTGGCCTATGTGAAAAATTCCCTGTCAATTTCGCTATTATATATTCTGGAACAGACCCGTGGTCTTAACCAGGGGTAGATCTTCATTCCGTTTTCTTTAACCATTATTAAAAACAAGTCTTAAAGGAACTCCACTGAGGTTTATAAGGCTAAAAATATAAAATTTTAATTTTTCAAATAGTTCAACGTACGCACTTAAAACAGAAAAATAGATCAAAAAATACATTGAAAATCGTATGTTTGTGCTATTCTCTGTCCGATCTGAGTGAAAAGCGTTTAAACGCTTTTCAATTTTGAGTCATTTTTCACTATTATAATAATTATTCTGGAAAATGTGAGCGAGCTAATGATCTGAAATTTTGCACATAATTTATTGGTATAGATCTACATCAAATGGAGTAATAATCTCAAAATATTATTTCCAGTCCCGTCATTTCAGTGGATCCCTTTAAACTATTAAAGAAGAATTAAATTTTGAAATACAGATGCTCTCTAGACTTTTAATATAGGCTAGATCTACTGTAGATCTACTAGATCTAGATCTACATGATGTGAGTGATGCAAAAAGTACGGACACTGTGTGGACGCCAGCAGGAAAAGTTGATTTAATTGTCATTTTAAGTGAAGAACTCTTAAGTGTTATAATGAGGTGCAGTCCAAAATAGCCGATGGTTCACATAAACCCTACAGCGCTCTATTATGATGTGGAAGTTTAAAGTAAAAAATAATCATTTCTAGAAAAAGAACTAGATCTTTAGAAGTCCAAAGAGGACAAATTCTGGATATAGCAAAGTTATCTATCTAGGGTATTGAATCTTTTCACAAATTATGATTTGAGTGATAATAAGAAACATGTACTTGTTCAAAGTCTGAAGCAGCTAGACACCTTAAGAAAGGAAAAAGTAATAGAAAAAAAAAACATTTCTAGATTACGTTCAAGTGAGGACGGGGGTAATTCTGATAAATTTTGGTGCTGGAGTTAGAAACCTGGTGGTTGATGGTCTGAAACATAATTATATTTAAGCTGAAGTAAAAACTTTAAATAATCAGTAAATTTTGACGTGGTCGCCGATACTGAGTGAGTAGGACAGCTGTCAATATGAATATACTCCCTATAGTCAAGATTAAAATGATGTGCACGCATAATCTCCATACTGCCATCAATCCATATACCGGTAGAAAGTTTAATTTAAAGAAAATAATACTTTTTGAATTATTTCAAAAATTGTTATATACCGTATTTGCTATATTTTAAGTCTAGTTGTCCCCATAACAACCAATTTTTTCAACATAGGAAGAAAAAAATGATTTTCATAATCTCGTAACTGCAATCTACCCATATGTCAAGTTTCATAAAAATATTTCAGTAATTTTTCGTTATCACGGGATCACAGTTTTGTGGACGGACGGACTGACTGACGGACAGACGTACGGAGGGTAATTCTAAAGTCAACTCCGGTTAAACGGATAGGGTACTAAAAGTACACAACATTCATATTCTTCTTCAGTGCCTTCCCACGATAGTTTTCGTGCATAAATAAGCGAAACAAGATTGTTGTTTTTTTAAATCTTTAGGACTTTTTTCTCACATTTAGAATATGGTACTATATCTGCTAATAAAGTAATCCCCGCTTCCTCATACGTTGCATGCAGTGTTAAAATACGGAAACTGTGAAAACGTGGGTTTTTTTTTTTCAAACGGTGTTCTAAACGGACTATAATTATGAGTGGTTACTGAATCACTATGCAAAGAGTATATACGACTGAAAGTCACTAAACATTTGCCGTGATTTTTTGGGTTTTTTTGTTGTATCTCCCCCATAAAAAGAATTTCGGATATAAACCGAATCAATCTGTCGGTTTTTTCTAGGCTTTTTCCCCTGTAATTTAATTGCATAAAGTCCCCGCAGGTCTCCTCCCAAACTCCGTCCACCTCCCAAACTCCCGCTCGCACCTCCAAACCCGCTCCCTTTTTTTCCTCTTTGCATTTCTTTTTCCTTGAAAGGATAATAAATATGATTTTAAGTTAAATAATTGACCTTATGTACACTAGGTTCGTCCAAGCTGTTCTAACAAATTTGTAAAAAATTGCGAAATGTAATATTAATTCATTGCAGCTGAAATAGTTTTTTTGTTCGATGGACGATTTTCCGATTTTTACTGAAAGTTCAATATTTCAAAAATATAAGATTGAAAAACTTTACAGCACCTACCTTTTTTAACACTGCTCTTTTACCTTTGTTTGATACTGTTCTTTATAGGGGAAGTGAAGGACGAGAGATGGGAAGAGACTGCAGATTGGATGTAAAAATGAGCCGCGTCAAACGAACAAAAACCCAACGTTATGGCGTTTGTGAACCAGCATGGATCCAGAACCAGCCTGCGGCATCCGCGCAACGCATTACGTTGGTTCTGTTCTGACGCGGGTTCAAATGATTTCGGAACGGGATTGAATGGTGTTTTTTTTTATCATGTTTTTTTGTTGAATATTTATTTTTTGAAAAAAAAGAAAAAATAAATTACAAGAAATTTGCAAAAAAATTAAGAAAAAGGGAATTTTTTATTAAAAAAAAAAATTGGGTTTTTAAAAGAAGGGAAAAATAATTTAAAGGGGGGGGGGGGGGGCAAATTTTTAAAAAATAATAAATTTAACCGGGGCTCAAAAAGTCGCCCAAATTAATCTTTTTTTATTAAATATACATTTCCCCCCCGGGTTTTTCTTAACAGCCAGTGAAACCCCTAAAGAAACTATAGTCCCTTGACCCTTTAAAAATTGTCAAAGTGTAACCCTTTGGTTTACGACCCCCAAAACTATAGTAAAAGATAATCATGAATATAAAATGGGAAAAAAAAAAATTTCCAATATAAATTTTTTAATGAAAATACTTGGGGGCGTTTTAAACGGTAAAAAATTTCAACCATATTTAAATAGTTCGGGAATTTCTGTAATGTACTTGTATTTAAGCAAAGGGTAAATGTCGGATTTTTAAGGTAAGGTTTTTTTTAAACTATGTTTTAAATTAAATTTATTAAAAATATGTAAAAAGTACATGTTTAATTTAAGGGTTAGTTTTAATTTGGGAATCAATTTTTTAAAACTATGCTTTCAAATTTTTTCACCCCTCTATAAATAAAATAAAAAACAAAGTCATATCGATTTATCGATTCCGAATTTGAAAAAAAATATACTTTTTTAATTATTAACACACGTTCGTACATCCCGGAAAAACAAAAATTTAAACTTTGGGATATTAAATTGGAACATGCAAGAAAAACTTTTAAATGTAGCCCATAAGAAAAAGAATGGAACAAACACTATTCCAGAAGATAAATTTTAGAATTTTAAAAAAAATGTATTACTTTTTAAATTTTTTATTTGCCCATTTTAATTATTATATCATATAAAACCCTTTGCATTTGGGAAATTGAATAGTTTATTTTCAAGGCTCTGTCGCAAGACCACGTATTGTTTAACAATTTTTTATGTACTCCTTTCAAAATTCCTTTTTTTTCTTTTTTAGTTCACCATTTTTCTCTTTTAGGGAAAAACGCATTTTTTATTTGGCATTTGTCGCTTTTCATAAAAGGGCACATGTACTGTTCAGTGGTTTCCCTATAAGACTTCATGAAACAACCAGGGGTTTGGTTTCATTTTTTGATTATTTAACATATTTTTTATTTATTTTCTTTAACTTTTAAATTCTCGTATGGTTTTTGTCTTTTTTTCCTACAATATTTTTGAATACTAGTATAATTGCACTAAACAAAATTTAGTAATTTTGATTTTTTCCATCCTTAATAGTTTTTTAGATGTTCCAATTTTTAAAAGGGGTGACGAGTTATGAAAACATTAAAAATGAAAAAGGGTTGAAATTTTCCTTGATTTATTTTTTATAAACCTTTTTGTCTTTAAAAAAAATTTAATATTTTTTTTTTTGCTTTTTTTTTTAGAAATTTTTTTTTTATCCAGGGTTATAAAAGGGCTACGTGCATCAAAATAGTAAACAAAAAATCGTTTCTTACATGTGCATTAGTATATTCAGTGAATTTGTTTTCTAAATTTATTTTCATCTTTTGACATTTATAAAGGAATTCCGATTTTTACTTTTAAAGTCCTAAAAGGGTGGATGGGCCCCTCATTAGCATAAAAAACCAACCTTATCTCCCCGAACGTAAGTTTCTGCGCAGACTACCCAATCTCAAACTGTTGCTATCTCATTTTTTTATGGTTTTTTCATTTTGAAAACCCTATATATAGACGGGAAAAAATAGCCAGTTTCAAATTAAAAGGGGTACTCCATTAACATAAACAGCAGCCTAAAACCTTTTTCGGGAATACAGTTTTAAGATATGTATGTTGAAATTGAGGTTTATATCACATTTAATAAAATTATATTATATATGTAGTAAAAATCATGCTTAAAAAACTTTTTCAAACATCAAAGAATATGAAAATTTGTACTGCAATTTTTGTAACATTATATGTAATCATTAAAATATATGCATTCATTTCTTATTGAAAAATTGTTTAGATTTTATAGAAAAATTTTTTTTATTCACCAAGTCCAATTGTTTTTAGGGTCTAAGGTCAAAGTTCCTTTTGGCCCAACAGTGTTTCAAAACGTCTTTAGCGATGTCAATTTTGAGTAGAAAACCCCTAGAAATTTTTTGGTTTTCAGAAGGCAAGGTCAAGGTACTAAATTTTGAAACTGA